TGGTATTATATCTGCTACTGTGTACCATTGTTGCATGCTGTTGCATCACTCTTTAAAAGATCTCATGTATGGTAGTAGTTTCGACCTGTGTACATTAGTAGTACCTCATATGAAAAGCTTCAGCTACTTCAAAAATATGTCTTATTCTCTATTGTGGAAAGCACAGTTAACCTAAGAATTAGAAGATAAGATGTTGTATTTGGCAAGTATTGTTATACAAAAATAATATGATGAAAAATGGCATTTGTTTAAAGCAAAATTAGTTGCTATTCATACTTGTCATTTTAAAACATCTAAAGTTTTACAGGTTAAAACATTCTTAATAACTGAAATAAAGAGATAATATTCTTTTGATTTATATTTTATCTCCTAGTTAGTAAATTTGAGTGCCAACTAAGGTGTAAGCAATGATGTAGTTATTAGCTCATATGTATCTTTAGTAGTTTATAGAAGTGCTTTCCAGACATTAGAAACAGCTATAGATTAGCTATCAAACAATGGTGAAGATTAATAACTAGTCTTTTACCTGGTAATTTAGAACAATATCTGGTAATTAATTGTGACTTGTCAGTTTTAAAGTCACATACTTTGAGAAGCAGCATCAAAAACAATAACAACAATGGTAATTGTTTAATTGCCTCTTAGCTTTTAGACTATTGGAATAAATTAAGAGGAAATTAGAAAATCAGCCAACTTTAGAATTTTAAAAGCATTTCAAATTCTGAAGTTAAATGCTTTCCAACCTCCGGTGTGTGTGTGTGTGTGTGTGTGTGTGTGTGTGTGTGTGTGTCTCCGGTGTGTGTGTGTGTGTGTGTGTGTGTGTGTGTGTGTGTGTGTGTGTTTGTGTGTATAATACTTGGTCTCACTAATAAAATATGGAAATAAGATAAATACGTCTCTTGATACTTGGGGATCTCAGAAAACTTAGGTTTTATGTTCTTCCTTAAAATGGCTCCAGCATATGTATTGACCAGAAGGAGAGACTGAAACAAAGATACAGGGAAGGGAAGAAACAGTATGGAAGACAGAAGAAAGGCTCTTAGGGTTAGTGAAGGGAGGTGCCAGGATGGCCTGGGTGGTAGGCCATCTAGATTGGAGCACTTTGACTCAAGACACAGATGGGAGAGTAGCTTATCTTTGAAATGCCGAAATCCTTGATACCTGGGGGGGAAAAAGAATCAAAGGGTAAACTAGCCATGTGAGCTGGGCCTGTGTTGTCATGTTCTTGGCTTGTCTTAACCATGTACTAAGCCCTTCTAGTCTTACTGCCTGAATCACCAGATAATTCCCACTTTACGTCTCATAAAATGCTCTTTCACCTGTTTCTGCTAGTAGAGGTTGACCATGGCAAGCTTATAATTGGAAAATATTTTGATAGTGTGCTTACTCAATGTTGTTCATGCAAAATTGCACAAGTACCCCAGAGAGCTGTTCTAATATTTCCCGTATTTCCTTATGGCCTTGCATACAAACTTCCCAGATAAAGCCATCTGTATCTGCACATTTCTGTTTATCCTCTCAGCAGCTAAAGAGCTGCAGTGAATTCTACAATTAGGAAATTATCTGTAATTTATTGTAGAAAAGTATTTCCCAAATATTATCTCTACCTCTATTAGATTATATAGCATCAGTATTCTGCATGTCATGAGTAGAGGATAGTTACTATATATAGAAGGAAATTTATGCGTTCATTATTTTTATTTTTGTTTGTCTTTTACTCATGCAGTTCAAAAAGATCTAAAGAATTTTGTGTGTAAAAGTTCACCCACATTTGTTATCATTTTCTGCTATCCTGCCATGCCAGGATTCAATAAAGACTTATTGAATGAATATTCAGTTTACTATATATATAATAATAATGTGGCATTAATAATTATAGTTATGCTTATACTTTCTGAATGTGTTGTACTTTTTCCATTGTATTTTCTTGGGAGTGGAGATACTTAGGAAACTGAAGGTTAGATAAGAATCATTGATGATTTTAAAAAAACATGAATTTGGCCCACTGGCTGCTCCGAAAAGCCATCTTTGCATTGTTCCTGGGTCTGGCTCCGTGCTCCCTGCAGCTACCCTCGCCGCCTCCTCCGCCGCGGACTCCGGCAGCTCCCGCGCCAGAGTCCACCAGCCTTAGCACTCTCCTCCGCCTGCTGCATCGGATCTCCGGTTAGACTGGCTAGCCAGCAAGGTCCAGGCATCTGCCTGGCTCCACTTTTCTTTTTGGTATTTTTGAGACAGGGCCTCAAACTTGCTATATAGACTAGGTTAGCCTCAAACTCGCAGAGATCTGCCTGCCTCTGCCTCCTGGGATTAACGGCACGAATCACCAGCCCCAGCCTACCTGGCTCCACTTTTAAAGTGCTGTAATATAGACATAGGTCACCTTACTCAGCTGGGAATCCAAACTCAGGTCCCCATGCTTACGTGGCAAGTACTTTACTGATGAAGCCATCTTACTACCACCTTTTGTTTTCTTCCAGACTGGTCTTAAACTTGCTACATAGGGGAAGATGACCTTGAACACTAATCTTCCTGCTTCCACCTCCCAAGTGTTTGAATTACAGGCATAAACCACCAAAGTGGTAGGACATAAATGAGGAAGCAAGTTCTTTTCTCTCTTTATTCTCTCTTTTGAAAATTCCTGCAATGTAACAGCAGCCCTGTATCAGTTATTTTCATTGTTGTGACCAAATATCCAACAAGAAGCAACTTAAGGGAAGAAGAGTTTATTTTGGCTTACAATTCAAGAACTTCCCATCTCAAAATCTAAACATGTCACCTTCGAGTAGAAAGGCAGGGCAGGCCACCGCAGATGACATGAGCTCTCCACCACCACACCAAAGCCACAACTCGAATTCATAGCAGGGAAGGGGAAAAAAAACCCAAAACTTCTGAGGCCCTGCTTTTTTTCTTAAAAGTACTTTAAAAGGAAAATTTGTTTGTATTTTTTATTTACATTTTATATTTTTGTACATATTGTTAGGGGTCAGCCATTTTTTATGATAACGGGTGACCAAACCAGCCTTCAAGCATTCTCTGTCCTACTTCTGACTTTACTTGTGTATGTACCTAGCTGTATTATAAGTAGTTTGGTTTGTATGAGATGGTTAAAAAGGCCAAAGATAAAAGGTTTCTTTTTTTCCTTTTTTTGTCTATGAAGTTGCTGTTTATTTTATATTTATTTTTTGGCCTGTTTGATGTATGTGTGAAACAATGTCCAACAATAAACCGGAATTTTATTTTGCTGGAAAAAAAAAAAAACATGAATTTGGACCTGGCGAGATAGGTCAGTGGTTAACAGCACCAGCTGCTCTTGCACAGGATCTGGATTTAGTTCCTAGAACCCACATGGTGTCTAACAATTGTCCATAACTCCAGTGTTAGGGGGAATCTGACGTCCTCTTCTGACTAGAGTGGGTTTGCATGCATGTGATATACTTAATACATGCAAGCAAAATACATACAAAAATAAGTAAATAATTAAAAATAACTGAGTCCTGTGACTGTGACATCATAATCAAAGTACTCCAACATTTTTCTCTATTCAGTTTATTTTATTTAATTTATTTTA